AAAAAAGATAACCAAACATTAGCTATTTTATGTTTACAGACATGCATGAAGGACTATGGCAGGTGGATGCCCTTCCGTTCTGGTGAGCAGTACTGGCTCCTTTACAGCCTCAGGGCCTAGACACACCTGCCAGAAGCCGTGTGTTCCCTTGAGCAGCCTGGTGGCAATCTGACCTACCATTAAGTACACACTGCCATCACTATACTCAAAGATATTTGCTAAATTTAAGGCAAAACATTATTCTGCCTGAGCACTTTGAGAAATCTTTCACATAAATTATAGGTTGGAGTATTTTATCACATAGATTTATAAGTTCTTTGAAGAAAGGCTGAAGAAGGGCTTTCAATCTAAAGATAAATATAAAAGAATTCACTGAATAGTCTAATGTATCTTACACAGTGCTACCCACAAATATATTTTATGACATGAATCCTAAACAAATGAAACAAGTGTTCTTTAAGTATAGACTATATTTCATATACTAGTTATTACCTCTCCAGCCATTTCTATTCAGTGTCTCAAGAACACAGAACTTTCCAACTTCTGCACTTATTAATTAACTAGGAATGGTTCATGCAAGAGAGAGAATGAACCTATCTCTTAAAACATGTAAAGAGTACTACCATTAAAAATACTTTAACACTGAATTTTTTATATTGAAACAAATATATAGAATTCTTTCCAGTCCTATACAAAGATTATTACTAATAAATACTGCATGCTATTACCAAATTTTCTTTTATGTTTTTAAAGAACATTCACTGCTTTAATGAGACAGTAGCTGAGTTATAAGTGAAAAGAGTATTTTTTAATTGTTATTTTTATTTTTTAAAATTTTTTATTCTTTTTTTGTGTGCACCATGAAATCAGATCTGACTGGTACAGGAGGAGATAGTCCCTCCTCCAGCAGAGCATCGGGTGGATTTGAATCGCTCACCTCTGGGATTGCAGTGCAGCTTCTTGCCAGCAGGCCACCAGAGCTCGCCAGAAAAGAATATTTTGACTGTAATTTGTTAACTGGCTTACAATAATTTAGTTTCCTTGTATCTTGTTTTGGGCCTATTTTACCATTATAAAAGTACCTGTGTATCCACCAACATCAAGCTGAAGATGGTTCAGGAGGACTGAACACATCTTCGCAAGAAACCTCAACGTTACTAAAATTTATTACTATTTTTCTTTAAAATTCTATTTATTTTGTTCAGAACACAAACATGGCAAAACAAGTATCAATTCCACAGTTTCTACATGTATACCATTTAGTAACAGTGATTCCATTCTTCAAGTTCTACGGCCATTCTCACCTTCATTTTCTGAGTTGTTCCTCCCTCAATAATATCAACTTACTGCCCTCTAAGGTTCCTATCTAATCTTTGCAATTGCTGTTGTTCATGTGATCTTATTTACATAGACCTTAAAAAAGCATAATGCTCAAGGCAGACTTTTTTTTTTTTTAAACTGGGTAAGCTACACTATTCTTTGCTTTTAAGAAAATTTCAGGTGATATTATTCCAGAACAACAGTTTCAGGTATTCACCCAACAACGCTGAACATCTTTTCATGTGTGGAGTGCTCATTTGAATGTCTTCTTCAGTCCCACATCAAGTTTTCTGTCCATTTTTTGATGGGGTTATTTGTATTTTTGTTGTCAAAGTTTTATAAATATACACTTATTTTCATATTTAGATTATCATCAGATACATGGTTTTCAAAAATGATACTCTAGTTGTTACATTATCTGTTCACATTATAGGTAAAATCTTTTGATGAATAAAACTTAAAATTTTTACAAAGTCTGATTTTCTTTTTTTATCTTTTGCTGCACATGCTTTTATTCCATTGTCTAACCCACTGTTAGAAGCCAGGACTGACAGTATTGCTCTTGCTTTTTCCTCTAAGAACCTTATGGTTTCAATTTGCACATTTAGGTCTTTAATCTTACATTGAATTTGTTTTTTCACATGTTTTGAAACACACATCCTATCATTATTCTGCATGTAGAAATATAATTTTCCTAGCACCATTTATTGAAAAGATTTTTCAATACCCACTGAATGGCATTCATGCCCTTCTCAAAAATCAACTGAACATAATGTATTAGATTTCTTTCTAGACTCAATTCATTTCCATTTGTCTACATGTTTATTATACTAATACCAGACTATCGTTTTATAGTTTGTTTTAAAATTAGGAAGTGCAAGTCCTTTTACCTTGTTCATCTCTTTCAACACTGCTTTTGGTTACCTGAGCCCTCTTTACATTCCTCAAAGTTTGAGGCATGGTTTTTCTATTTCTAAAACTCATTGAAATTGTTATACTTTAAGTTCCATTCTTATTGGCCTGCCTGAAAATTCAAATATACATTTCACAAAGTACCAAGCCCAGTGTTTTCCATTAAATTCCAACCCCTCTCTATCTCAATTCTACAGTTGTCCATCTTTATGGGCAGATACGGCCCATCTCCCTCTTGCAGAGCAGCTGATGGATTCAAATTGCTGACCTTTCACAGAGCCAGGAACATCATCCAAAGGTCACACCACATCTTGAACTCGGGAAATACGGATTATTGTAATGCTTTCTTTTTTTAAATTTCACATTTGTATGACTTTCAGGAAAAAAAGTTTTTATATAACTATGTGAGTGTCTAAATTTTATATGTAAGATTTTTTTGAAAGAAGAAAAAAGAATGTTCTTTATTATCTAAATTCCTAGAACGACTTTAAGAAAAAAACTTTGCCTGCCTTCCACAAAAGTAACTTTTTTTCTCTACAAATGTATTAAGTGAGATAGATACAAAGAACACAAAGTTAATTAGTAAAGTTGATGACTGAGGAGAACTCTAAATCATAAAAGATCCAAAACAAATGTTTTCCTAACTTTATATCAAAACAAACAAACAAACAAAAAAATAGTGATAATGGAAGTTTTCTTTTTTCCTTAGAATCAAAATTCGAACTTTCAAGACAACCTTGAAAACAAAAAAGTTACCTTCTTGTCAGGTTTTGGTGCATTTTGAATAGAATTTAGAGCTTGCCTTTTATACTCAAGCTTATCATTCAGTTCTCGTAGTTTGTTTACAGCAAAACTGGCTTGTTCATTCATCCGCCTGGTGCCTTCATCTACAGTTTCCTCACCAGTCACACCTCCCTGGCCCTGGAAGGGAATATCACATTCAATTTTAATTACCATATTTTATAGAGATAGGATAGTCCGTAATTATTACCCATAACAGTGATTCTACATCATTACAATACTGTTCCAAAGGACTAGATTCCAGTAAGGAAAGAATATCACAGAGGAAAGTTAGAAGTTGACCAGTTTAAACCATAAATGTTCCATTCACAGACTATCTGCCCTTGCTTTTCAGGAATCAAACTCAGGCAGGAGGCCTCTGACATAATACTGGCAGGTGGTACCAAGGTGCTAAGAAGAGCAAAGACAGAAGGAAAAAGTATTTAACACTAGAGAAACAAGAAAGCTCAAGTTTACTTTTTTTGCTATAAAGATTGTGGGGCACACCAAATTTGGCCCACTCAAGATGCTCCCAACTATATTACACTCAAAACTCATCCATTAAAAGGGGGATAGGAAGTTCAAAGACTTACCGTTTCATCCTTATCAGAAATCAACTGTGTGTCATGCTTTTCTTCCTCTTTTGTCATCAATTTCTCATACAGGTCACTGACAATAAATGAAGGATAATACCTATCCTTTAAGATCTCATAAACCTCTCCCTGGATTTTGTAGAATACTTCGATACCTTTATTTCCTACAAGACACTGTTGGATTTCTTTGTAAAGTGATTTCTCTACAGATATTTCTTTGCTTTCCACAAAAAAATTCTGATAAATTTCACCAACTAATTGTGGAATTTCATTCTGAAAAGACAGAAAGATAAATAAGGAGAAAATGAAGAAATATCACCTCTAAGAGAAATTATTTTCCTCTGAATTCACTGCACTTCAAATCTGGAAGAAAAACATTCAGACTGCACACCAGCACTATGACATGGAGGGTGGAAGGTGAGGGCTTTTAATTCACATTCAGGGCTAGAGAGAAAATGTCACACCATTGGCTTCCTTAATATAAACACTTCCTGCTCAAGATTTAACACCTGTAATTTCCCTAAGTGCTGCATGGGGGAAAAAAAACCCCAAAAACTCAGAACCACCTTCTTCCAGACTGATTTCTTTTCATACATGCCAACTGCACATGGATATAGTCTGCTGTTGTTGTGTACCGTAGTATCGGAAATGACTCATAGCTGACCCTCCAGTGGGTCTTCAGAGGCTGTTAATTGCATGGGAGGAGACTACCTACCCATCCTTCTCCTGTGGAGACTGCCTTCGAGATTGCAGTGCAACATCTCTGCCACTAGGCCACCAGACTCCCTGGATATAGTTTATTGTTGTTGTTATGTGCCATTGAGTCACTTGCGACTCATAGCGACCCTATGTACAAGAGCTCTAAATGCTGTTCTATCCTTTGCCAACCTAGCCATCTCAAACGCACTTATTCCCACTGCTCCAGTCACAGAATCGATTCATCTCACCAAAGGTCTTCCTCTCCTGCGCCTCCCCTCCACTCTGCCAAACATGATGTCCCTCTCTAAGGACCAGTCCCTCCTTGCAACATGCCCAAAATATGTCAGACGAAGCTTCAGAATCCTTGACTCCAGGGAACACTCTGGCCTCACCCTCTCCAGGACAAACCTGTTTGTTCTCCTAGCAGTCCATGGTATATTTAACACTCTTCTCCAGCACCAGAGCTCAAGGGCATCAATCCTCTTTCTATCAACCCTATTCACTGTCCAACTCTCTGATGCATAGCACGTAATTGCGAAGACTATAGCCCGGATCACGCGCACCTTAGTCTCTAGCCTGACATCGTTACTCTTCAGTACTCTTGAGAGGTCCCTCACAGCCAACTTTCCCAATGCAATTCGTCTCCTGATTTCCTAGCTGCTGTTACCAAGAGTGTTGACTGTGGAGCCAAGTAAATTAAAACTGTTAACTATCTCAATCTCTTCACCAATTGGCCCAGTGGTTAGAATCTTTGTTTTCTTGACATTTAACTTTTTATCTAATGTAATTATTATAAATATAAAATAATTAGACATTGCAGGGTTTTCAGCCAACACCTCTGGGCAGACTTAAACCCTAGGGAAAGGCTCAAAGGCTCAGGGACACTCGCTGGGGGGCCAGGGGGGAGCCATAATACATATCAAACACAACTCCAAAAAAGCACGACCTCAAAAACTTCCCTTTACTTGCCCATCGGACCAGATCCACAAGCAACAAAAAGCCACACTCCTAGAGTGGGATCTTTCAGGCCTCTGCGGGCAGTCCCCTCCCTACCCCTGGGGGGTTTTAACCCAATGCCTTTGAATGGACTTAAACCCTAGGCAAAGGCTCAGGGATAATGGCTCTTGGGGGGAAAAGAGTAATAATACATATCAAACACTAACCCCCCCAAAAAATGTAACCCCAAAAAAACACAACCCCCAAAACTTCCCTTTAATTGCCCATCTGGACCAGCATCCACAAGCAGCAAAAAATCACACTCCCAGAGTATGATAAAATTTATTCATTTTTTAATGAATATTCCTTGAATGACACAGCAATCATTTGTCTACTTGCTGAACTGAACAACTTGGTGTTGCTGTGATGCTGCTCACTGTTCCATAGTCTTGTCAAATACCATAATGGGTAACCATTATGTAGTTTTGGATGAGCTTCCAGATTGATTTATGCTGGGAAGTAGGAGTGGCATCCACTTCCTAAAACTAGATGCTTCTGGAAACTCTACAAACTCTCTAAACTCTTTAAATGTACAGAAATGATAGTAGTTATAGAACAGAGTTCTGTCCAGAAATGATGGTAGTCATAGAACAGAGTTTAGGTCTTTTGTGCAAAACTTACTCTCAGTCCTATTCTACTTGACAACACTTAACCACTGCCAAGTGAAACTAGTGCTGTTATATCTGGAGGAACACTCTTCCACTTTGTACATCACTCTTTGTCAGTGTGCAGTATGAAGTAACCTCAGTTGCTGGGATGCTGAACCTTGTGCCATTGAGGTATATCAAATACCAGAATGGCTTCCCAGTGTGGACAGTGTTTGGTGGAGCTCCCACTTGTAAAACAGGTTTGGAAGCAGGAGTGGCATTCACTTCCTAAACCACATGCCTCTGGAAATTCTATGAACTTGGTAAATGACGACAGTTGTGGAAAGGCATTAGGTCTTTTGTTCATAGAGTAGCTATGAGTCACCCTTGACTGACGGCAATCAACAACAACAATAACATTATCTATCTCACGCAGAAAGTCAATCTAATAATTATGTAATCTGAGAGGATATTCTTCAGAATAATCACTTCATTGTAACCAAGCTTACATTTCATAGCTTAGTCTTAAACATTAATTCTAAAGCCATCAGCAGCCTATTTTGAAAAATTAACTTTTATCTTGATTAATTTAATCTTTACATTTCCTCTAAAGACACCTCATTAACTCTAGGTGGGCAATGTAAAGTGTAAAAACAAACAAACAAACAACCCAAACAAACAAAACACACAAAAAAAGGCCCTAACTAAAACCCAATACACAATAAATACAACTAATTTAACAAATATGCACGATATTTTAAAGCCAAATGAGGGTTGCTAGATTGTAATATAAATAGAACTACTTGAGGAGGATTTATGCTTTTATACCGCTGAAATTTTTTAATCTGCTTTCAGTAATTTAGGAAAGCTCTTTAGAAGATTTTTCACAATGTTCCCTTGAGAAGAATACCAAGTCAAAGGTATATAGAGACAAGCCAGGTCAATAACAAAAAAAACTAGCACATACAGTATTTAGTAAAGTGAGGTAATATGTGCTTGAGAACAAGAATGGGGGGGGGGAGAATACTTTAAAATACCATGATATTGGACATGGTGTCTTAAGTCACTGTAGCTTGTAAATTGTATTTTAAATTGTTACTCTGCTCTCAAAATACTCGTAATAAGAACAAATGATAACTCCAATAACCAAAATGCCCTTTACAGTATTTTAATGTTGTTGCTGTTGTGTGCCACTGAGTCAGTTCTAACTTATATTCACCCTTTATTACACAGCGGAACTAACGGTCCCATAGTGTTTATTCAGCTGTAATCTTCATGGGACCAGAACACCATGTCTTTTCTCACACGAAGCCATTGGTGGGTATAAACCATAAGCCTCTTCTACGTTGGTAGCTGAAACATTTAATCACTATACCACCATAGCAACTTGCTATTTTAATAAACTTACCAAAATGTTTGTTTTATATGTTACACACTGCATCAAGTAGCTTTTAAATATATACATACATATCCAGTTCTTATTAATTCTTAAATATAGATCAAGAACATGCCAAGTGTAAACATACTGTTAATTGTTAGTCTTCTTTGTAAGACGCATTTATAATAAAAAGAAATGCTTTTCTACTCATTTTTTAAAGCATATTCTATAATAAATAAAAAAGTGCAAAATATGACCAGTATGACATTCTAAACAGGTATCACAGTTCTGAGACTAAAGTTAAGGTTACAAGATCAAATTTTTTTTTTATAAGAGGAATGTGAATATATGTTCTTTATTTCTAAAATAATTCAATCTTCTGGAATATTTAAAAATGAGTAAAGAATTGTGCTGCGCTCTCAAAGACAGAAGGTCTGCATCTGCCAGCTGTTCCTGAGAGAGTAATGGAAAATCTCCTGCCGTGAGATTTATAGCCTATAAAAACCTGCTTGAGGATCAGCCATGAGTAGGTTCTGACTCAGTGGTTAATGGATTTGAGATTTGACACATTCAAAAGCATCTTCTATAAAAATAAAATCTCATTTTATTTACCATTATTTTAAAAAGTCAGTCAAGCCACCTGCCATATTAAGTTGATTCCCACTAATATCATCCCTGTAGGGCACAGAAGAATGGTTTCATAGGATTTTTAAATCTTTATAAAAGCAAACTGCCACATCTTTCTCTCAATGAATAGCTGGTAAGTTCAAACCTCTGACCTTCTTGTTGGTATACAAGCACTTTAACTACTGTGCTACCAAAGGTCCAATACCTAAGGCTAATACCATAATTGGTTTAAAATTCCTTTAATATATACTTACATATTAAAGATAATTTCATACTTATCTTAAAATAATATACTTTTTCTTCTTATTCTTGTTGTGTATTGCCAAGTCAGAACCAACCAATCAGCAGGGTTTTTAAGACAGTAAATCTCATGGGAGGAGGCTGTCATCCTTCTCCCATGGAGCAGCTGATGGATTTGTGCCTTTAGGATTGCAGCACAGCTTCTTACCACTAGAACAGCAGGCCTCTAATAATTATATATATATTAGTATATGAGTAACACTCCAATAACTTTATATTTATCTTGTATCTTCTTTATAGATATCTTGTCTAACACGCAGGTTCTCATCAGCAAGTGATTCATTTTTCTTCATGTCTGTATATGCATTACCTTGTTAGCATTCTTTAAATGTTCCACAGACTCCCAAAAACTAATGAGTGCTCTCTTGTCCATTCTTTCCATGTATATTCGAAAGTGCTCTCGGTAGCATGTGTTGGCCAAGATATCTTCGAATTGAAGAATCTAGTAAGATCATTTAAGTAAAAAATGTTTAAAACATATCAAACACAAACATTAGACATCATTTTGCTTTAACTGTCAATTGCTTGATGTTATGCTTAAAAAATAAATGCTCAATTTTTAAGTTCATAGTCAATGTCACATAGCACATTTCACTCACTGAACTCACTGCCATCATTCTAATCTAAAAGCAACATGTATCAAAACAGAAAAATTATAAAGTAGTACAAAAGACCAGGAAGGTGATGTTTAATTTAGTGATTTTGAGAAATCTTTTGTAACCAAAATTTTAAGTGAGCCATTCTATTACACTGTATTTTTGTCACTGTCATATGTCAATGAGCCAGTGGATTTTCAGAGGCAGTAAATTTTAAGTGAGCCATGATATCACACTGTATTTTGTCACTGTTATATGCCACTGAGCCAGTGGGTTTTCAGAGGCAATAAATTTTACAGAAAGAGACGGCTCATTTTTCTCCCTCAATGCAGTTCGTGGATTTAAACCCGAGGCCTTTAAACTCCTTAAACACTAGGCAACCAACCAGAGCTTCTTGTTACAATGTACAAATGTGCCAAAATTAGTTCAACTGTCTTTCCTGATAATCTATGAAAGGCTGTTTACTATTTGAATGATTTAATTTTTAAATAGTTGCAGAGAAAAAAACTATGCTATATAAACAAAGAAAAATCTTCAGCGTGGACTGCCATAATATGAAAAACAGATGGCCTTAATAATAACAACTCATGACTCAACTTGGAGAAATGTCTCAAATTAAATCAGAAAGGCCTGATGATGACCCATATCCTTAATTCTAAATTAGTAATAAGAAAAGACGTCTCTAACAAGTAGAGACCAAACACAATTAAATGGGGGGGAGGGGGGAAGGATTTTGAGATTCCTAAAATTAACACTGTGGCAGTCATATATTTTCAGAAATGTTACCTGTAAGACCGTTCTGAAATCAATGCACAGTCAACTTTTGTGCCACTGCCAATCAGTAGACCTTTATTCAATCTGTTCTGTGAGCTGAAAGTTTATGTATTTTCCTAACAACTTCTGGTAACATACCAAGGAGGATGGCTTCACTTACTACAAACATTTGGTTTGCAAAAATATTTCAGGCCATTAGTATTTAGTGTCCACACGTAGAAACATCATAGAATCTGTCTTTACTTTACGTAAACCCTTGCAGTGAGGTATAAGTTCTACATACACATTCCTAACAGATTCGGAGGAACTCATCTCAATTTTGGCCATGGATGATGACTCAAATCAAGAGTTTTATGTATTTTTAACATGTGGAGGGTGTGAATAGGAAGACAAAAGGGTAGACATTCAATAAGTCCAGATATCCTCCAGGTTTCAGATTAATTCCAAAGTACAGACTTAGTAACTTGAACAAACAAGTTTAGAACTTCTAAAAACATAATGACTTTACAGATTGTTTCATTTTATCTAAATTTCACTCCCAAAGCACACAGACATATAAACAAACAACAACAAACGTATCTAAAGTATAATCATATTTATCCTTAGAAACCTACTATGTGATCTGTTTAAAAAATTTCTGCAAAGTTAAAAACAAAACAAAACACACATACAAAATAAAACCCCATGGAAGTCATGAAGGAAAGAGGAATTTAGGGCACTACAATAGAATTTTTTCTGGTGGTTTGAATCTACCAGCAGCTCCAAAAGAAAGACAGGCAGTCTTGTCCCATGCAATTTACAACCTTGAAAATCCAGTGGAAGGTCAGCTATGAATCCATTCCAACAGCAATGAGAACGCAAGAGAACCAAAAGAACGCCAGGAGCAACAGAGGCAGGAAAGAGCCAATGAAATGGTTTCAAACGGGAGTACGAAGTCCTGTACTGAACACGAAAGTATTCACTCTGGATTGACATTAGATCAAATAAATAAATGGCTATAAAAATTCTCTTAGAGAAGAGGCCAGATATTTATTATCACTGATTTCCAACTGGATGATATGTAACATTTATTTCATTTCCTCTTCTCCATGTCTCAAGTTCTTTGATCCATCCTTCCAGAATGATTTTGGAAGACTCTCCCTTGTAAGTAACAGGGGGGTGGATAAGGATTTTGTTTTGCTTTCTTTTCATGTTAGGATGAGAACAGAGAAGGTACCATGGTGCAGCTAAACTGCTAAGGCTTTGGAGTTAAGTATGTTTAGATTAGAACCTGACTCTTTCTAGTCCTTCTAGTTTCTTTCCTGTCCTGTGTTTTATTTTTCTCTCTCAGCCTCGATTTTTTTCGGCTGTAAGATGGAAATAAATAGTACCTACTTTATGGGTTGTTGTAAGAATTGGAATAGCTGCTCTACATCATCAAATACAATCCTGAACCAGGGTTCTGGGAGGAATAGGTGCCACAATTCAGGATCATTAAGAGAAAAGCAAAGATGGTTGAAAGACTTAGTTCATGGTTCTCAACCGAGGTCAAGCAGATTACCAAAGAGGAGAAGGGAGCTCTGGAGGCCCAGTATCAAGAAGCTGCACTGCAATCCTGAACACACAACTGAGTTCATCAGCTGCTCCGTGGGAGCAGGATGGGCAATCTCCTCCCGTGTGATTAACTGCCTCTGAAAACCTGTTAGAGGGTCAGCTATGGGTTGGTTCTGACTCTATGATACACAACAATAACAACATAAGAGAACTGTTATGGGTGCAGAATACATTATGTTGGCTGTTTTAAGGGTTTTATGGGTGGATACATACATTAAAACTTGTCTGTATGTTCTCCATCAGTCAGTAAGGACGTTGGTATTGAGGGAGAACCACCATCGTGTCTTCCACCATGCTGGCAAAACCTCAGCTGCAAGGCCTTCTGGCCAAACATCTGCAAATGCTTATTATGGAAGCAGTCATTCTATCCCTGAGTGTGGCAACTTTCTGTAAGTTTGCCATGGATGAACCAAGAAAGAAAACATGTAGATTTCTATAGAAATGATGATTCCATGAAGGATTTTGAGATGAGGCTAGCTGGTATCTTTCAGAGTGCAAAGTAACTTTGGAATGTATAAAATTTCTTTGGATTGAGTTCCATGAATGTTGTCACTGACTTAGGGTTCCGAACTGTGCAGCATGACTATGCTGTCTAAGGAATAGTTTCCTTTGGTAAATAAATCTTTAACAAATTAAAGGCCCCCAAAATTTGTCTTCACGTATTTATATTATACATGGTAAGGACCTGCCCTGTCAGTCCAAAGGCTCACTGTCTGAATCCACAAGCTGCTCCCAGGGTGTAAAATGGGCACTCTTATCCCATGAGATTTACTGCTTCTAAAACCCTCCTGAGGGTCAGCTTGCATCTGTTCCAACTCAATAGTCTGTACATAACAACAAAAGCATTCCTTAATAAAGTTGTTAAAAATATTCATTAAGTTTTATCAGCAGCACTGTGGATAAGAGATGTTCACAATGATTGTGCTGTCACCTGCACATACACTGGAGTTAATTTTCTATTTTCTACCTGTAGCATTGCCTCAGAGACACCATATTCTTCTTCCCATGACACTTAGAACCAAAGTACTCAGCTGCAATCCAAATAGCTGAGGTCAAGAATAAAGGCCACAGAATACCTTTCCCCTGGGTAAAATGAAATGGCAATAAAGAAAACCAAATGAGTTGGAACTCTGGTGGCCTAGCTGCAAGAAACTGTGCTGCAATCACAAAACCATGTGGTTTGAAGCCACCAGCTGCTCTGCGGAAGAAAGATTATCTGCCTCTGAAAAGCAATCGGAGCATCAGCTATGGGTCCGTTCTGGCTCGACGATACAGAACAACAATGTGAACCAGAAACTATTTGGGAACTCCTACCAGTCCATCAAACCTAGGACTTGGAGAACCCAGATATGTACAGAGCAAATCCTCCCTGGAGTGTAAACAACAAAGAAAACCAAATATGTAATGATGATTTTCACATTCTTATCAACTCCAGTTACTGTTATGAAGTAAAAATCATTTGACAAAAACACATCATACAATTATGTTTATGTGTTAACTGTCAAGTAGGTTCAAGTAGATAATGCCTTGCTTCCCCAAAAGTTCTCCACCCCCCCCCCCCCCCCCCCGATATATTCAGTTCCTGTTTCTTGCCAGAATCACTCTAGCTCTGGATTATCTGGGGATTTCACTTGCCTCTTCTACCACTAACGTCCAATCCCCATGGCCATCATTCAAAACTCACATTTAAAATTCATCTTATTTTGCTTGATCTTGCCTCTCCAGCTCTAAATTCTAGGCTTTGAGCACTACCTAACATGGTAGCTATTCTTGTAAGATTATGGTTTGCCTCCTTAATCCTGATTAACGCTATCTAATTAAGTCCTTCCACCAATATGCAGATGACACAACCCTGCTTGCTGAAACTGAGGAGGACCTGAAGTGCTTGCTGCAGAAGGTCAAGGACTGCAGCCTTCATATGGAGTGAAGCTCAACATCAAGAAAATAAAGAATCCCACCACTAGGCCAATGGCAGCATCAGTATGGATGGTGAAGAGATTAAGATAGTTAACAGTTTTAAGTTTGCTTGGCTCCCCAGTGAACACTCATTATCAGCAGCCAGGAAATCAAGAGACAAATTCCATGGGGAAAGTTAGCTGTCAGGGACCTCTCAAGAGTACTGAAGAGCAACAACGTCAGACTGGAGACTAAGGTGCACCTGATCCGGGCTATAGTCTTCACAACAGTGTGCTACGAATCAGAGCTGGATAGTGACTAGGGATGATAGAATGAGAATTGATGCTGTTGAGCTGTGGTGCTGGAGAAAAGTGCTGAATACATTATGCACTGCTAGAACAAAGAGGTCTGGTGAGGGTGCAGCTGGGCTGCTCCTTGGAGTAAAGGATTCTGAATTTTCGTCTGACATACTTTGGGCATGTTTCAAAGAGGGAGCAGTCCTTGGAGAAGAACATCATATTTGGGAGAATGGAGGGATGGCGCAGGAGAGGAAGACCTTCAAGGAGATGAACTGATTCAGTGACTGGGGCAGTGGGAGTAGGTGTGTTGGAGATAATGAGGCTGGCACAAGATAGAGCAAGGTTTAGGGCTCTTGTACATAGGGACACTATGAGTCGCAAGCGACTCAACAGCACTTAACAACAACAAAAACAACATATTGATTTATTTACAAAG